AGGAAGGAAGGAAGGAAGGAAGGAAGGAAGGAAGGAAGGGAGGAAGGAAATGAGGAATGAGGTTGATCATGAAATATAATATGAAATTTTACTAAACTTTGTCTGTAGGGCATTTCCGGCATACTTCCTTCTACCTTTACTCTCTTCTTACTTTCAATTGCTTACATATAAAAATTAACGTGCAGATAAAGTTTGGGAAAATTAGTCCCAGTATTGTTGTTTCCTTTCGCTGATTAAATTCAGCTTATAGTGCTTTTGGTATATGTAACGATAAACGAAACCTTCACCACCCTTTTTTTATATAGTAATGATAAAAGAGTACATTGTACACCGTGAAAAGATTTTAAAAAAATTAACGACGTTTCGGACGCTAGTCCTTCGTCGGAGGCGAAAGAGACGAAGGACTAGCGTCCGAAACGTCAGTAAGTTTTTTCATCTTTTCACGGTGTAAGATTTACCCTGGCTTTTATCATTGCTGTTTCATTAGAAACACCGACGCAGCTCACACTAGTTTTTAGCTAATTATCTCTTATTTGAAATAGCTGTACAGTATTTCTCAACATACCTGAGCTGTATTTTAGCATAAGTGAGATGTTCACCATACAAACTGACACAACACTCCCGACCAACACTCTCTGTTTGTTTTCATTGGTGCTGTTCTTGAGTAGCAAATCAAGCATCATTCTTATGATAGACATCTGATAGACGTCCCATGACTGGGATGGGATCAAGTCCAAGAGCTTCGATAACAGTTTTCTTGTGTCTTTAGTGTCTGTTAATATTAATGGTATATAAGAATGCGTGATCAATAGAGGTGCGTTAGCAAAGCGAGGGAATGCGTGGCCATTGAATGGCTTGACAAAGGCCAAATAATGCATGACACGCTAGATAATGCGTGACAATCGTGACATAGCGTGATCTCTTCTTTCTTGAACGATAATAGGGTTTTTTAACTTTCTCTTACCGTGAGATTTTATGATAAGCAATAACTTCAAGGCGGCACAACCGAGATCCTACAAAAATAGAGAAATTTTATGATTAGTATCACCATCGTTATCTTCATAATATATCTACATCTGTTTCATTAATCTCTCTATAATCATCACCATCACCATCATCATCATTATCATCGTCGTCGTCATCATTATCATCATCATCACCTTCATCAATTCAATTAACATCTTCGCCATCATTATCATCGTCGTTGTCATCGTCATCACCATCATCACCAGAAGCATTATCATCACCTTCATCATCATCAACACCTTCATCATCATCATCACCTTCATCATCATCATCAACACCTTCATAATCATCATCACCTTCACCTTCATCATTATTATTGCCTTCATCATCACCTTCATCATCATCATCATCATCATCAACACCTTCATAATCATCATCACCTTCGTCACCTTCACCTTCATCATCATTATCGCTTCATAATCACCTTAACCACCATCATCAACCTCATTATCGCCTTCATAACCATTATCGCCTTCATAATCACCTTCACCACGACCACCATCATCATCATCTTCATCATCATCAACAGTTTCAATATTTATCATTATCATCTTTACCTGTGTTCTACTGGTATTTTTCTTGGGTTCCCTTATCCAGCTCCACAAGTGCGGCCAGTAGTTCTYTGACAAATACGACACGACTTTGTTTTCACTGGATAAAGCTGTGAAATGAAATAAAATCAGTTAGGAAAAAACCACCTACGACCACACTTTTAGTTTGTTGGAAAACAACCACTTTCCTATCATTTTATGCCACATTAGGATAGGATGACGCCACTTACCCCCAGTACTTTCAGTATACGAGAAATACCAAAGAAGCACTGGTAAGAGGTCCCAATGATGATCCTTGAGGTATACCTGACGAACGTCCCGGTCTTGACTCCTGGACGTACATCGCTGTTCAAAGTGCACTCTCAGGGAAGCATTGGAGGCTATCAATATGGTTGCTATGGCAACACGATCTTCTGTGACGTTGTCGAGACAATGGTCTAAGAAAGAAGTATCCACTTCAAGTAKATATCGTGGAGACGTTCTGAGCAGCTTGAGGAGGACTCGGTCTAGTTGCATTGAGGGAACTTCTTGAAGTAGCTTTGCTAGTTTGACGAAGTCGGCAGCGGAGAGTAAAGCCGCCTTCTGATTGGATACATCAATCATGTGACTAAACACGCTGTCGTAATCCACCAATGAAGAATCCTGACTGGCTAAAGAGGTCAGCTGATCTGACTCTTTGATGACGCTATCTATAACCGAATGCTGACTGTACTCTAAATTCACGTGAAATAGGTGTGACACGTGACCTGCACCCTTTATGACATCATCCGCAACTGATTCCTGATTGGAGCTGTAGTTGTTCACGTGGCTTGCTTTTGAATCAAGCAGTGCTAACAATGTCTGGAAGTATATAGTAGGTTCTACGAGGTTTTGGGATTTTTTGACCAGCGCTTCGAATGGCAGTTCAAGCAGCTTGGCTATTGGTTCAGACAAGGAGGCCTGGTCACAAAATGGACTGAACACTTGAAGCAGCTGCAGAGCTTGTAGGGTGGGTCCATCTGGTGAAACATCTGTAAAAAATGATAAAGAAATTGGGGCTTAGCAGTTCATTCTCTTGAGAACTGTTGATTTTTACGGGAGGAGGAAAACCGGACAATACAGAGAAAAATCTTCCAAGCACAAGACAATAACAGTTAATTTTTGCTGAAAATTTGATTAATTTCCAAACATTTATCTAGAAAAATAAACATGAATAATAAAGATAATGTAAATCAACTACAGTTAGAGCCTGGAGTCTGACACCAGAAGAGGACCAACTACAAACGCTACTCATATACTACGCCAAGGTTGGGAATTTTGTATCGTATGTGAGTAGAGTTGTTTGTTGGTTCTCTCCTGTGTAGTATGTGAGTAGAGTTGTTTGTTGGTTCTCTCCTGTGTAGTATG